TACATCATGTAAACAGCGTTGTCTAGCGGTTCCTTACCAGTCCACGCTCTACCAGGGGAGTTATGTAGTGGAGTTTACCGCTTACATGTTTCTTACGTGAAAGCATTACTCTCAAGACGCCTATTCGTATAGTATTTTGAATTGATGAAAAACCACTGGAATATATTTCTTTGAACATCCGCGCTCAGGTCGTGTTGATTAATGACGCTGCTGCTGCTGGTGTCGCTGCCTCCGGCGTTGTGGCTGCTTGCTTAAGCAGTCTTCGATTTTTCTTGAAACCCGCATGCCTGCAATGTAACTACCACCTAACATCTGCTCCCATTGTGTTCGTCGTGCCCAACAGTTATATCGTTCATGCTGACTGGAACTTACCTTAGCTTTGACCGTGAGTTGGCTTCTCGTTAAGTTTTTCTTTTTCTTAGGGGACAAGCATTGCTTCATTTCGTACACAAATACATGGTCAAAATTTATGCAAGTCAAGCCAGCAAGGTTAACTTGGGTCCCCCTGTCGCTGGTTGGCTACCTTGCCTCTGAAATAGCATCTGAAAATTGGAATGCTTTGATAGTAAAGAAGATTGAAGAGGAGGATCTGGTTTTAAGAATAATGCCAGTTTTCTAGTGTTTCCAATATGGGTGGGCAGAAATGTAATAGATAATGCTAGGTATATGTAAAGCGCGAAGCGGGATCGGTACGCTTTAAAACCAATACGCGAAAATAAGGCCAACCTCCGGTGAGTGGAGAACACCAAAGGTAACGCTAGGAAAAATTTATTAAGTGGGCGAAAGGCTAGCTAGTGCTAAAAATAAGGCACCGAAAGATAGCTAGCTAGGGAAAGGTGTGGTCGCGTGCGCGGAGAGCAAAGATGGCAGCGGAGCCGAGGAGCGTCGCGCCGTTCGAAGGCGGATGCTATGTTGACTCAAACAAACGCGAGCAACGTTCAAACAGGCGAGCGGCTATTTTGCTATGTACATCGAGAAAATATAATTTTGTGATTTTGTAATATTTTACGCAGCATGCGGCAGCCAAACAGGGGAATCTCCAGGTCACTACACAGCCCCCCTCTTAGAAGGGAACCGTAGGTGACCCTTCGATCTACGTGAGGACTGTCCGTCGCCGGCCAGCCTTCTGCGAGACCAGGCGGTGAAACCTGATGCAGCTGCTGGGGGAGAACCAATGCGATCGGACGCTAGGGGGGCTCCCACCCGTGTCCTCCCTACAGGTGCCAAAAACACAAAATGGGGGAAATGTTCGCAGCGTTCGAGTGCGTAGTGTCAAAGCACACGATGTTTGAGCACGTAGTGTCCGCAAACGTAACGTTCGATCGTCGTTGAACGTCCGCGTGTCGAGGATATGAAAAAGAAGCGGAGACGCGGAGTGTCAAACAGGTGCGAGCGACAGAGCTAACGAAAAACGATAGCACTTACCGAGTGCGATAAGCAAATAAAGCGAGAACCATTTTGTGTTTTCAAAACGATTTTCTCCTTTTTTTGGGTTTTCAAAACGTCTTTGCGGTTTTTGGGGTTTTCAAAACGCTTTGCAAATTTTTTTGGGTTTTCAAATCGTTTTTGTTGGGCGGGTTAGGCCACAAGCAAAAAGGAAGCGGGAAAAGAAGAATGAAAAGAAGACTAATCTTTTAGTCGCGCTGGCCAATGAACCCGCCTACCTGACCTAGTCGATTTCGGACGTTCGGTCGGAGGCGTTGTCGATCCAGCAGTTTTGTCGGATGAGGACGCTTTCGGCTCGATAGAAACGTAAGGAACTGAGTCGGAAGAGTTGGTCGGAGAATGCTTCGCAGCATCGGAAGTCGGCGTATCGTCGATCATGGGCTGCGTTGACTCGTCCGAAGGTGGACAGGAGTCATCGTCGATCTCAGGTTCCACATGGGCAACCTTGAGACGGTCGATAGAGACGGTTTCATGTTTACCGTGGCGGTCGATAACGAATACGCGGTCCTTACGTTTAAGAACCTTAAATGGACCTTCGTAGGGTCGTTCGAGTGGTCTGCGTAGACCATCGACTCGAAGGAAAACGTAAGTGCAATGCAGTAGATCTTGTGGAACGAACGATTTACGTCGTTGTTCTCGCACGTCGGTTGCTTTAATATGGCGCATGCTCGTGGCTAACTGCCGAGCGTAATTCGCGTCGTAGCGAGGTGTTCTAGGGTTTTCAGAAAAGAAGTCCCCAGGTAGTCGAAGAGGTTGTCCGTATACCAATTCGGCGCTGGACGTGTGCAAATCAGCTTTAAGAGCTGATCGGATACCAAGTAGTATCATGGGCAGTGCTTCGGTCCAGCTTAGTGCATTAGCGGCACTAAGTGAGGCCTTCAGCTGTCGGTGGAAACGTTCCACCATGCCGTTGGATTGCGGGTGATAGGCGGTAGTCCGGATGCGTTGACATCCGAGGACTTTGAGAAGATCGTTGAAAGTCGAGGATTCGAACTGCGGACCGCGGTCGGTAGTCACTGTGGCTGGACAGCCATGTGAAGCGACCCAGCGCTCAACGAAAGCGCGCGTTACGGTGTCCGCGGATACGTCGGGTATAGGTACGGCTTCGGGCCAACGGGTGTATCGGTCGATCATGGTCAAAATGTAGACCATTCCTCTGGATGGTGCCAAGGGTCCAACTATGTCGAGATGGACATGGGCGAAGCGAGCTGAGACTTGCGGAAAACGACCAAGCGGGGCGGACACGTGCCGCTGTATCTTGGCCTGTTGACACGTTAGACATCCGCGTGCCCAGCGCTTAAGATCGCATTGCATTCCGGGCCAAACGTATCTCTCGGATATGAGCTTGATCGTGGCTCGGATGCCTGGATGAGCGATGTTATGAAGGGTGTCAAAAACTAGACGTCGGAAGGTTTCTGGAACGACGGGTCGAGGTCGTCCAGTAGAAGTATCGCACAAGATTGTGCCATCAGATGACGGCAGTGGATGCGATGTGATTCGCAGCGAAGAATCTTGTTTGACGTTCTGACAGTCAGTGTCGGCTAGTTGCGCGGTAGCCATGGCAGATAAGTCAATTGCCTGGCCAGAGGTGTGGATTGCGGAGACGCGCGAAAGGGCGTCAGCAACGACGTTATTCTGACCAGAAATGTGTCGGAGGTCAGTAGAAAATTGAGCCACGAAATCCAGCTGACGAACCTCACGTGGTGAGTGTCGAGCTGATTGATTTCGAAAGGCGTAAATAAGCGGCTTATGGTCGGTGAAGATAACGAACGAATTACCTTCTAAGACGTGCCTAAAATGTCGAACGGTAGAATAAACTGCCAGCAGTTCGCGGCTGAACGTGCTGTACTTGGCTTCTGCCGGTTGTAAGCGTCGGGAGTAGAAAGCGAGTGGCTTCCAGCATCCCTCAGTGAATTGCTGCAGGACAGCGCCAATGGCGGTGTCCGATGCATCGACTGCAACGCTGAGTGGAGCCTTCGGGTCGAAATGGTGAAGCATAACGGCTTCGGCCAAGGCCTCTTTGCAGGCCCTGAAGGCTTCGGTTGCAGCGGGCGTCAATTCGACATTGCCGTTCTTGCGACCACGAAGTAAGTCGGTCAATGGACTGAGCAAGTCGGCACAACGTGGCAGAAATCGACGGTAGTAGTTAATCATCCCACTAAAACGGCGGATGGCGGCCAAAGTAGTCGGAAGGGGAAAGTCCTTAATAGCACTGACTCGGTCTTCGAGCGGCCGTATGCCATGCTGGTCAATTCGATGACCAAGAAAATCGATGGATGGTTGCTGAAAGATGCATTTGTCAGCGTTGACCGTAATGCTATTAGAAGCTAACCTCTCGAAGAGCATCTTGAGGTGCTTCGCGTGCTGTTCTTCGGAAGAACTAGCTACTAAGATGTCGTCTATGTAAGGATAAACAAAGTCGAGACCTCTGGTGACAGAGTCTATGAAGCGTTGAAAAGTTTGAGCTGCGTTACGAAGACCGAAGGGCATTCGCAAGAATTCGAAAAGTCCGAAAGGCGTGATGACTGCGGTTTTCGCAATGTCATCCTCGGCTACAGGGATCTGGTGGTAAGCGCGAACCAGATCGATCTTCGAGAACACACGGGCGCCACGTAGGCTAGCCGTGATGTCCTGAATGTGCGGAATGGGATAGCGGTCGGGGACGGTAGCGTTATTAAGAGCGCGATAGTCGCCACATGGACGCCAGTCTCCTGACTTTTTAGGCACCATGTGTAGAGGCGACGCCCACGGGCTCTTAGACGGGCGAATAATGCCTAGGTCTAGCATGTGCTCGAATTCGGAGCGAGCAATTTTGAGCTTGTCGGGGGTCATGCGCCTGGCTTTTGCGAACACAGGCGGACCTTTCGTAACGATATGATGTGTCGCGGCGTCGGTTGCGGAAGGCAACGGGACGGCAGGACGGAAGACCTGCGGAAAACTATCGAGCAGCGTTTGCCCGACGGGTGAAGTAAGTTGAGTCGCGTACACGGGACTGATTGACGCGGTGTCGGTCAAAGTCCCAATGACTGCGAGGTTCGTAAGACGGTCGACTAGACGGTGTCGCTTAACGTCGACGAGTAGGTCGTAATGACGTAAGAAGTCGAGACCAAGGATAGGCGTTTGAACATCCGCAACGAGGAATATCCATTTGAAAGCGCGTCGGAGGCTGAGATTTAGCGTGCGCGAGCGTTGACCATATACGCGGATGATGGTTCCGTTAGCTGCGCGCAATGAGCTAGTCACCTTTTCGGTCGGGTCATTTGGATCACGCGGGAGAACGCTGACTTCTGCGCCAGTATCGACGAGATAGCGAACTCCGGTTCTACGATCGGTGACGAAGAAAAGGCGACTGCGTTGACCAGCTACGTCCGTCGCCCCTACGTGCTGGTCCGCCCGTTTCCCTGCTGCTGTCGTTTGAAGGAACAGGGCGGGCGACATGATTTAGCTTGCTGGCCGAAGCGTTCGTGGTACCAGCAGTAACCGTTTCTATTCGGTGATCGCGAAGGAGACTTCGAACGTGAACGCGAACGGCTCCTAGAGCATTTACAGCGGTTATGTCTGGAGGCCGAAAAGTCTGCGAATTGTCGAGTCAACGTTGCCATCTGGGATTTAAGCGTAGCGATATCGTTGTCCGGTTTCGTCTGGACCTGCGAAACCTGGCCGTACGACTCCCAAATTCGGTCGGCTGTATCGGCCAGTTTGGACAAAGGTGCATCCTCACTAGCGCAGAGGATGTGTAGCATCTCGCGCGGAAGTCGTTGCAACCACATTTCCCGAAGAAAAGAATCATCTATCGAAGAGGGTTTAGCTAGGCTCTGCATTTTTCGAAGCAGCTGAGATGGCTTAAGATCGCCAAGATCGGTTTCGTTGAGGAGTTTCGTAACTCGTTGTCGATCGGATAAGCCTGTTCTTCTCAGAACAGCTGTCTTGACTGCATCGTAAGTCTTTTGGTCGTCAGGAAGATCTAGAATGTCATCAATGTCATCGATGACATTTAGCGGAAGCGCGGAAACGACTAGGTGGAACTTGGTCTTTTCGGACCTAATACCACGCAAAGAAAATTGCGATTCTAGCTGACCAAACCAAGACTTAGGATTAGTCTCGCGAAAAGGTGCGATAGGAAGCGTAACTGTGCCGATCTGAACGTCAGAATCTACGCGATCAGTTGCCATAGCGAGCAAAATAGCGAGCCAGCAAGATTAAACCGGAAAATGAAAAGTGAAAATCAGACGGGTGAGCGAAAAAATGTGGCCAAATCTGAAAAGAAAGGTTAGCGAAAACTCACCGGATAATGACCAAAATTCGGGGTCACCAATAAAGCGCGAAGCGGGATCGGTACGCTTTAAAACCAATACGCGAAAATAAGGCCAACCTCCGGTGAGTGGAGAACACCAAAGGTAACGCTAGGAAAAATTTATTAAGTGGGCGAAAGGCTATCTAGTGCTAAAAATAAGGCACCGAAAGATAGCTAGCTAGGGAAAGGTGTGGTCGCGTGCGCGGAGAGCAAAGATGGCAGCGGAGCCGAGGAGCGTCGCGCCGTTCGAAGGCGGATGCTATGTTGACTCAAACAAACGCGAGCAACGTTCAAACAGGCGAGCGGCTATTTTGCTATGTACATCGAGAAAATATAATTTTGTGATTTTGTAATATTTTACGCAGCATGCGGCAGCCAAACAGGGGAATCTCCAGGTCACTACACCTCTTCGTTTTCCGCATACAATCTTGAGGGGTCGAATCTTGGAGGAAATTTTCCTGCTTTTTACCGAGGCGGAAGGCAGAGACAATGTTTATTCCCTGTTCGCCTGCATCAAACAGTAGAGAAATCATCCTCTCGAGCAGTATTTGATCATCCAACATTCCTTCCCCGAGGTAGCCTTTTCCGATTCCGCCGCGTTCACCATGATGAGACAGCGGTCACGAGATGGCTGAATGCGCTCTGGAATTGGTGGCTTACGAGATGCTAGGATTTTCCTTTATCACTTTTTCCAGCTCAGAGATTCTGTTCAGAATTATCTTCATTTGTGACTGCGAAGGATGGAAGCTCAGGTTTATTCAAAGACTTAGTCTTAGCATTGGTGACACATGTGGCGGACCTTGGCCACACGAGGCCAAAGTCGCTTTCTCCTTCACTACGTCCGCATATGACTTCGTCGTAGGCTCAACAGGCCGGATGGTGTATCAATGGGT